ATTAAAAAAGGTTTACTTAACGCATTTACTCAAAATTTTGCTTCTCATGAATTTATTCAAATAGGAAAGTATTGCGTTATTGCATTCTTTTTTCTTAGGTGCTTGATATTGTATCATTTTCTTTGCTTAAAGTTTTATGATTTTTAAAAGTTTTTACTAGTTGATTAACAAACAAAGACGGAGCCGCGGAGGCCCCCCTCGACAAAAATTCTGAATCTGCCACTGTCTATACCCATTGATAAAGTAGATGATAAAATTTGAGGTGGGCTTGACTCCTCACCCAATAAGGCTTTGTTGAATGAGAGGATTACCCCTTCTTATAAACTAGTAGGCTTAAGCATGCCTAGTCGGTGCAGGACTCCAATACTCTCCCTCACGGTCAAGCCCATATGTTGGGTCATGCCTGTTGATGGAGATAGTTGTTGGCTCTAACTCCTTATCCGCTGGTCAAACACTAAGCTCAACTGAACTGAACTTGGGCTCTAATATTATGATAAAATTTGAGGTGGACCTAACTCCTTACCTAATAAGACCTTATTGAATGAGAGGATTACCTTCTCTTATAAACTAGTAGGCTTGAGCGTGCCTAGTCGGTATGGGACTCCAGCAGTAGAAACATTAATTTATATATATATATCAAAAACTTGCAAGTATTATACTTCAAAATGGATGGAGAACAGTTATAACTCTTTCATGCATGTTGTAATCACAGACATCGCCACTTGGTTACTAAAAAGGCACAAACAACTTGGAGAAGAGAAGGACATGAATGGCCTGAAAGGTTTTCACATGCTAGCTTTAATGCCATCAGCTTTCAGAAGTAAAAGCCACTTGAGCATGCTAAAGGAACTCATCTATTATTGTAAGTCTTCATACTATAGTTCAAGGACGGATCCAACATACTTGAGAGTAGGCCTAGGCCTACCCTCAGATTTTGAAAAAAATTTGCCAATATTTATAATTAATGATTTTCATATCAAAAAGGTACAATACATGTGGCCCACAATCAAACTAAAACTAAAAGCTAATATGGTAATGGCGTAATGCAGAGGCTCACCCATCATAAATATTGCAGGGCCCACTAGTTATTAGTATAAATTTATTATATATATGCCATATGCGGCCAATCTCTATAAAATCACAATTTTTGCATCCCTGATTTTATTTAGGGAGTGCGCCTCTCTTTCTCTTTGTCTTATTGGCTCAGTTGAAGTTATAACTTTTGAAGACTATTTTATTCTTTATCAGTTTTAAGTATATATATTACTTATTTTAATTTAGTTTATTCTAAGGTTAAATCATATTTGTTTTTATGGAGGTTTTTTATTCTGATGAAAAAAGTTATAAATCTTGTGAGTTTGTTTTGTGTTTGTTTGATTTTGTAATTGGTTGAATATTAATTTGTGACTTTAGATATTACAAATACATTTATAAAATTAATTTTTTATATAATTAGAGGACAGCACCAATCATTAATATATTAATAATAATATTTTTATTATTTTAGAATGTGATTAGTTGACTAAGTATGCTCTAATAGTAACTAAATTAAATCTAGTTGATTTATGCCAATAATTTAAATAAGTCAAAAAATTGATTAGCAAATTATATAAGTTTTTAAATTTCACTAAAATGATTTTAAATATAAGAAAATTAACACAATAAAATGATTAATTAATTGCTAAAATAATATTTTAATTAGATCTAATTGTTACATCTAAAAACGTGATAAGTCAATCCTTGTAATTTTATTAATTAAAGTTTCATCGGTCTTTCTTTGCATGTATCATATTATCTTTTTTTTATTTAATAGCTATGATATCCAATTATTTCAAGAGATTAAAGAAAATTCCAGCAGAAATTGTTGGTGGAGACTCTATTGATATTGAGGTTAATCAAATCCCATTAGAAGAAGAAGCCACACATCAGCAACAACAACACCAAGTAAAAAAAGTTCGACCTTTGGTTGGGATGTTCAATTTAGATGACCTTGAAACTGATCCAGGATTGAGGATACCAATTAACGAAATTTATTGTACTGACAAGCAAAAGGAGGAAGTTCGAAGAGCATACTTGTTGAAAGGTCCTTTTCAACCTAAAGATCATAACTTTTCTTTCACTCTTTTCAGAGATAAAAAGCATAGGTTTACACCAGAGTGGTACAAAGAAGGTCCAAGTTGGATGGAATATAGTGTGACAAAAGATTGCATCTTTTGTTTAAATTGTTATCTTTTCAAAACTGATTATGGTGACCAAGCAGGTGGTGAAGTTTTTGTGAGTAAGGGATTTAATAATTGGAAAGATAAAGCGAAAGTGAAAAAACATGTTAGAAATCATTCTAGTACTCATAACCAATGTCATGCTAAGTGTGTTGATTTGATAAACCAAAGGCAACACATCGATGTAAATCTTGCTTGCGTGTCGAAAAAGGCCAAATTAGACTATCGCATTCACTTGAATACATCAATTGATTGCATTAGATTTCTTTTACATCAAGGATTGGCATTTCATGGTCATGATGAGTCGATTGAATCTGAAAATCAAGGTAACTTTATGGAACTATTGAAGTTTCTATCCAATCATAATGATGACATAAAAAAATTTGTCTGGAAAATGCTCCGAAAAACCATCAAATAATGGCCCCTAACATCCAAAGGGAATTAACTAGTGTTTGTGCTCATTTGACGACCAAGAAAATTATTGCAGAAATTGTGAGAGATAAACAACCATTCTCTTTACTAATTAATGAATCTCATGATGTGGCAGGGAAAGAACAAATGGCTATTGTTTTTCGCTATGTGGACAACATAGGTTGTGTTATTGAACGTTTTATCGGGGTTGTGCATGTTAAGAATACTTCTGCAAAGTCTTTGAAAATTGCAATAGATGCTTTTTTTGTAAAGCATGGATTGAGTTTGACAAGTTTACGGGGGCAATGTTACGATGGAGCAAGCAATATGAGAGGTGAGTTCAATGGTTTGAAGACTTTGATATTGGGAGAAAATAAATCAACTTTCTACTTTCATTGTTTCTCTCATCAACTCCAACTGACGCTGGTCAAAGTTGTAAGTAACCATTCGGCATTGGGTGAATTTTTTCAATCTCTTTCTATGTTATCAAACACTATAGCGGCATCTTGTAAGCGCAGAGATCTTCTACGTGATAAACAATATGAAAATGTGATATCTTTGATTTCTAATGGTGATCTTCACATGGGACGAGGTTTGAATAAAAAATGCACTATTAAACGACTAGGAGATACACGTTGGGGTTAACACATAGGGATAATTCATAGTGTCATAAATTTATTTTCTTCTATTGTTGATGTGCTTAGGGTGATTGAGATTGAAGGAGACGCCTAGCAAAACAAAAGTCAAGCAAGGAGTTTATTATGAATTATGGAGAATTTTGAATTTGTCTTTTTGTTATTCTTAATGAAAAGAGTATTGGGAATCACAAATGAACTGTCACAAGCATTAAAAAGAAAAGATCAGGATCTTCTTAATGCCATACAATTTGTACAAATTTCAAAGCGTCGATTGCATAAAATGAGAAATGAAGACACGTGCTTCGACATATTGTTAAAAGAAGCTTCTGATATGTGCAAAGATAATGACATACCAATCTTGGAGAATATGGAAGATAACTTTGGGAGGACAAAACGGGGGATTGCGCCAATTACGAATAAATATCATTTTAAGGTGGAATTGATGTATACAGTTTTGGATAACATTCAAGAAGAACTCAATAATCGTTTTGATGAAGTAAATGTGAAGTTGCTTCAATGTATGTCATCTCTTGATCCAAGTAACTCTTTTGTTGCATTTAACAAGATAAATTATTTGAATTTGCAAAGTTCTATCCTACCGATTTTCCTCAACACGATATTTGATTGCTCGATGATCAACTTGAAAACTATTATGAGGATGTTAGCACCAATGCCAATTTCACTCATGTCAAAGGGATTGTCGACCTTGCTAAAAAAATGGTTGAGTTTAAGAAAGATGTTGCTTACAACAAAGTTTTCTTGTTTATTAAATTAGCATTGGTTTTGCCAGTGGCTAATGCAAAAATTGAAAAGGTATTCTATACAATGAATCTTGTGAAAAATAGTTTACGTAATCGAATGGGAGACGACTGGATGAACAATTGCTTGGTGGTTTACATTGAAAAGGAAGTTTTTGCTACAATTGAAAATGAAGATATCATTGAACACTTTCAGAATATATCGAAGCAGAAAATCGTGTTAAATTAAAGATCTTCAGGTATACCATTCTAACTTGCTTTCATATTTAAACAATCAATATTCATATATTTAAAACTTTAGGTATGCCATTCTAACTTTATTTTTTGGTCAATATGCAAAGGATGTGTGGATCTTTAATCTAGACGATTGAATTTTGATATTAACGTCTGGATTTGGAGTTATACAACATGAAGTTTGACTGCTTCTCTGGTGATTTTAATCTATCTCTTTGTACACTTTTATATAATTTAATTATGTTAGAGTTGTGATTGACCTCTAAATTTGTGTGGAATATTTTTGGTGGATTGTGGTTGCTGTAAACTCTTTTGCTTAAGGTTTTAAAAGTTTTCATTAGTTGTTTGGCAAACAATGGTGGAGCCGTGGAGGCCCCCTCGGGGCAAAAATCCTGGCTCTGCCACTGCTATAGTTTGTGGCATTATATTTTTTTTTTTTTGTTTTTACTGCCAGGCATTACTTATTTTTTTTATCTCAAAACACAGATTAATCAATTAATTCCGTTTCATTTTAATTTCAGGTCTTCCGAATGATTATGACGCCGATGAAGCGCTAGCTCAGCTTCCATCAAGTCAGAGAGAAGATGTGGAAACTGGGATGAGAAGCAGTATCCTTCAGCAACCAAAGAAACGTGGAGGTAATTGATGAGTCAAGTTCTTTCATAAGTGAAGGATATCTTCCACATATTACACAACTCAACAAATCTTTCTGACCAAGTTACAAAATATGCAGCAATTTCTCGGATGTATTTCGTCATTTGTAGTTGCCTGAAAGGTTTGAACAAATTCCCTACAATATTATTCACTTTTATATTTTGTTGTAGCTTAATTTATTGCAATCAATTACTACCATAATTGCATAATTTTTCTTTATTTTCATGCACAGGATGGGCAGCCATCGATGCAATCTGGAAGGAAAAGAATAAGCATGAATCGGCTCTCGGGCTGGTTAAGTTGCTAGCCAAACAAGATTTTTCGTGGAAATATAGTTACAAAGCAGAAGAAGACAGCAGCATTTCTTTAGGACTAGGCAAAGGAAGCGAGAAGGGGCCTCAAAATTCTAAAGAAGGAAGCAAAGCAACAACGTCAGAGAAGTCAGAAACATTACTTGAAATTCCACTACTCTTGGCAGCTCGTGAAGGGATAGAAGAGATTATTAATGAGATACTCAATGAATATCGTCAGGCAGTTGATCATGTTAGTAATAATGGACACAACATACTACATCTTGCAATATTGCACCGTCAAGATAAAATATTTGAACGCCTAAAGAAAATGGAAATGTCAGTGCAAAAATTGGCTTCAAAGATTGACAATAATGGCAACACCATATTACACCAAGTTGCAGAAAGAAAACATTACGAAGGAGGAAAGCGCCCTGGTCCTGCATTCCAATTTCAGGAGGAGTTGATGTGGTACCAGGTAGAGCCCTCTAGTCTCAAGTTTTATTTAATTTTTTTTTTTTATTAGTCGTTTTTTCTTATCAATTTCTTGATTTGCTAAAAATCCGAACTGAAATTCTAGAAATTATATAAAATATTTCAAGGCAATTCTTTCTATACCTTTATACATTATGTTATAATGTAATTGTCTCTATGCACTATGCAGAATGTACAAAAATTGATGCCTCGGCATTATGTCATGCACCGGAACAAGGACAAAATAACTGCAGAAGACCTCTTCAAAGATAACCACAAGGATCAACATAAGGAAGCAAAAGATTGGATAGAAGAAACCTCGGAGTCATGCTCTACGGTTGCGGTTCTGGTGGCCACTGTCATCTTTGCGGCAACCTACACCGTGCCTGGCGGTTCTAATGAACAGGGTCTTCCCAATTTCCTCCACTCTCCTCTCTTTCTGCTTTTCACTGTCATGGACGTGGTGGCCTTAGCCAGCTCCTTGACCTCGGTTGTGATGTTCCTCTCTATTCTCACATCACCAATTGAGCAAGAAGATTACCTTTACTCTGTTCCGAGAAAGCTGACCTTTGGATTTACATTGCTCTTCATATCGGTTATCAGTACCATGATAACTTTCACGGCTTCCCTTTTGCTTATCATTCGTTTGAAGAAGCGGTTGACTTCAGTGCTCATTTACACAGCTGCATTTATTCCGATCGCAGTATTTGCAATCTTGCAGTGTCCGTTGTATGTTGTGTTTCTTGGTATTATGCAGGACTTTTTCAAGGAATTTCAGAGGGCTCTTCCTGGGAAGAGGAAGAAGACATATTGATATTTTATTCTCTGGCTTTATGTATTGAATTTCCTCTTCATATTATTGGTGTGTGTAATCTAAAAGTGTGCTATCGCCACACTGATGCATGTGTTGGTTGATTTTGCGAGAGGAATAAGGTGTTTTTTTTAAATAAATATGAGTTGGGACATGATGCAGTGATCTGTATTGTTAAATTCAAATCTCAAGTCTATATAGAAGAGTTAAAAAGGAGATTATATATACACTTTTATGCATAGAGTTGATGGTGTAAAATTTATAGACTCTGGTAATGAATATTCCTCATCAAGTAAGAACTGAAAAAGGATATTAAACAATTAATAGAGATTAATTTGTAATCATAAATGTCCACTTATAGGAACTTAATTGAAAGTAGGAAACATCTAATTGTAATAAAAATAGCTTATTATGTAATACCCCATACTTTTTTTTATGGAGTTTTATTAAATTTTATTTTGTGATTCTGGGGTAAAGTGTAATAATTTGAAAGTTTTAGGGAGAAAAGGGAAATAAGTGAGGACTTAATTAAGGCTCCGTTTGGCTTATTATTTGTTCCCATATTCTCAAACTGATTTTGCGAATACTATTTGGCTTATTATTCAGACAATGCTACCTTGAAAATACAATCCTGACAGGTTTTTGACCGTTAGACAGTTTGAAGCTTTTATTTCTCTTTCTCAGCTTTCTTTAGTGCTCAACCACCGTGACAAACCATCTTGTTCTTCTTACATCCAACTTCTTCTCCACCACAATCTTCCACCTACAAATACAAAACAAAGCACATTCAACAAACGACTAAAACGTGAATCAGAAAACCACCCCACAGCACCACCTAAACAAAGCACATTCAACAAATGATTTTGCAAAACCCACCCACCATTGTGAACCACCCCACAGCACCAGATCTGTCCCAAAGACCATCTCTCTATTACCTGTCGTAGCTGACTTTAGAACTAGGAAGCTAGGAGAAACAGCAGCTAACCCCATCAGTTTTTTTGCCAAACCCACCCACCACCGTGAACCACCCCACAGCACCAGATCTGTCCCACATCGTAGATTCACCGTGAACCACCCTACAGCACCAGATCTGTCCCACATCAGATTCACTGCGAAACCCACCCACCACCGTGAACCACCCCATAGCACCAGATTTGTCCCACGTCGTAGATTCACCATGAACCCACCCACCACCGTGAACCACCCCATAGCACCAGATCTTTCCCACGTCGTAGATTCACCGTGAACGACCCACGTCGCAGATCTGTCCAGAGGGAAAGGTGATTGTGTTTGTCGCAGATCTGTCCAAAATATTCAGGGAAGGGAAAGGCGATTGTGTTTTATTTTTTTAATTTTTTTTTTTTTTTTTTGCAGGTTATATTGTGTACAAAACATCTGCATATAATTTGTGATTTTATTGCATATCTGTCCAAAATATTCAAGAAGGGAAAGAGACCCACAAAGTACCCAAATCCAGTTTGTGGCTCCGTGACCTATTTGTTTTCAAGACACCCGAGATGCAATTTTCCTCATTTTTATTTTATTGGAAATAATTTGTGTTAGTACTGTTTTTTCTTTTCATTAATCCTTTTAATTTTGATTGCAATTATGCGTTTTATAATTGGTTTACTGAAACTAATATCTGCACATGAGCACGATTGGGTTTGTGGATTTGTCTGTGGGGTTTAACGGTTACAGCATGTGCTATGTTGCTTACAATGTTTAGCACATGCGTCAAAATATTGTGCAGTTTCATATGTTCTTTATGTAACATGTTGTATGTAACGGATAAATTTTGGGAGTAAACAATTATTGGATTATTGGAAATAATTTGTTCGAATTTCACTAACTAATATATTTGTTCTGTAGATTACGATCATATGCACAAATGTCAGTATAATTTGTCCCGACGTTGTAGGATTGATTACTATTTGCAGTAGAGGCGTAAGTTTCGACGTTTTTCCAGACTTGGAGTTTGTCATACACCCTGTTGGTTGACATTGTTTTTATCTTCCCCTGCATTGACATCTTCAAGCAGTGTCGGATCAAACGAGGTATAAGTTTATCTGTGTTTACTTGATTACGTTTACATGTGCGTATGTCTGTTTGTAATGTGATTGGTGATTCGTATGTTGTCCCAATGTTGGTTTTTGCTCTCACAGTACTGTCCTTAGATGGGTGATAACTTGAACTGGTCTACTGAGATGACCCACAAATTTCTAGTCCTATTGTCTGAGCGGGCGAAAACTGTGCACAGCACTTCAATTAAAATAGCATATTACCAGGAAATGTTGTACAACATATCATCAGTGGCTGGGAGGAGACTCAACGTTGCACAACTAACCTCTAAGTACTTTCGCCTGCGAAGACTATATCAAGCATGGCGGAAATTGTTGCAACACATGGGGTTCAGGTGGGATCATGAGTCGCAAAGTCCAACATGTCCCATAGAGGTTTGGCAAGAATATGTGAAGGTAAATTTTCAACTTTTTCAACTAATATTAATCAACGACACCGTAATTGTACGCATTTTTTTTTTTTTTTGAACTGCCAAATATGAATATATTATTCTTTTGCATTACTAGCAAAACCCACTGGCGCAACAATTGTACCACAAGGGACTTCCTCACAAGGACCTTTATGAAATCATATTTGAGAAGCAAACTACCACTAGGAGATATGCGTATGACTTTACATCTCAACCGGTGGAGACCTCCAGCTATTCCAATCAGGGCGCGGTTCCCATGGATGATAGCGACTTTGAACCTGATCCAGATCGGACGACAAAGGAAAAATGACCAAACACATCTGGCCATGGAAGAGCAAGAAATAGGAGTAGGCAAAGAGGCTCGGGACAATCACTTGCGGATTTCATTGGTAGATTGACTAACGAGCTTGTGGAGAAGCAGATTATAGGATCGAGGACTAGGAATCACAGTGCAGATGAGAGGGACGAAGAGAACACCAATGGTCCATCTGATCTGTTTTCCATGAGCAATTGTATTGACATCATGACGGCCATGCAAATACCCACACAGTTTTACCTACCGGTTGTCAAGTACTTGTATCAAAATCCACGGTGGCGGGAGATATTCGTGAAACTCCCGTCCGAGGAAAACACAAACTGGATTTATAACGACTTTCCGAAGTTGTAGATGACACTATATTTCCTAAGTGTTTGCTAGCCCTTTTGTATGCATCAGTGGGCACTTGTCATTACAATTAGAATTTATAACACTACTGTATGAACTTATTAATTGTGCTATTGTTTTATGTGATATTACATGTTTCAACCCCGTTTTGGATTATCATTAGAATTAAATATTGACTGTTATATTTTGTTAATTGTGGATCAATGTTTTGCAAATGTGCAGGTTTAAATGGCGTCGTCTAGCTGTACAGAAGAAGATGACGTTCTACAGATGACGAAGAAGAAATACTGACAAATATAGCCATTGCACTCTACGGTGTTGCCGCGTTAGAAACAATTGGGCGTGAACCACGACATACATCCATATTAACTGGTCATGAGTACATGTTGGAAGTACTCAATGGTCATGCTGTTAGGATCTTTGACAAGTGCCGCATGGACAAAGACTGTTTTACATAATTTTATGATATTTCTAACAATCGTTGGCAAAAACGAGACAATCAAAACGATAATGGAGGATTTCCAACATTCGGGTGAGACGATCTCTAGATATGTTGGTGCAGTTTGCGAGGCGATATGTGAGTTGAAGATAGAGTTTATCAAACCACCTAACTTCAGTGAGGTTCCATGGGAAATATCAGCCAACTGAAAATATTACCCTTTCTTTAAGGTACTGGTTCATTATGTTTTCAATTAGTGGATAGTTAAGTTCATTGTGTTATTAATGTTCATAGTCGGTTAATATCAGTAAAATTCAATTTTGATGATAGGATTGTATTGGAGCCATTGATAGCACACATGTATATGCTTCGGTTCCACATGAATTTGCCAATAGGTACCGGAATCGCAAAGGAACGTTGTCATAGAATGTAATGGCTACATGCGACTTTAGGATGATGTTACTTATTTTGTTATTGGATGGGAATGATCTGCGCCTGATTCAAGAGTTTTAAATTCAATTATTGATGATCCTAATTCTGGATTCCCACATCCTCCACTAGGTATAAGTATTTTCTTGACGTATTATAGCGTATTTGCTCTACTATTGAGGCCCTCTAATTCAAATAACATGCATGATTTTATTACAGGAAAATACTATTTGGTTATACGGGTTATCCAAATAGAGAGGGGTTCCTTGCCCCTCATAGGCGAGTGGCTTACCATATTTCTAATCACCGCCGTAACCGAAGGGGGCCACAAGAGTTGTTTAACTGCAAGATGCTTCACTGTGCAATGTTGTCGAGAGAACCTTTGGTGTTTTGAAAAGACGGTTCCGTATTCTGAATGGAATGAACAATTACCCGTTAGACAAACAAGGGAAAATTGTTATGGCATGTTGTGTACTTCATAATTATATTAGAATGTACAATATGAAGCACCCTATCTTCGACCAGTATACTGAAAATACGGGTAATGAGCAAGTATATTGTGATCGCCAAAACGAGGCAGAAGATGGCCGAAATGGAGAAAGATCGAGTCAACCACAGCAAGGAATTATAGACAATATGACGACTGTACCTGATAACATAACGAATGCACTGTGGGCAACACAGTGGACCATGTCGTAGTTGTTAATAGAATATACATGTAAGAACGATTGTAAGGGTTGATAATTAGTACTTTTGTCATATATGTATTAATGTGATGTTTTTAAACAGTTGGATTAGTACTTGAAATTAATATAGGTTTTTGTTTTTTAATATTTACTGGTGACAAAATTACCAATAAAATGTTTAATATTATTAAAATCTAAATTGATAAGTTATATATATAATAATATTATTTTAACAAAATGTACTAAAATATTATGTTAATAAATCATTTATAAAAAAATATATCGATCAAATATTCAACACAAATATTAAGGTAAAAATACTCTACCAAACATATATTTTTCAAATCCTATTCTCGTAATCATAACTTTACTCAACTATCCAATATTATTCCCAAAATCATATCCAAAATAATAAACCAAACGCACCCTAAAATTTTTTAGATATTTTGATGAACAGTGACCATTCAATGAAAAGAAAAAGGGAAAAGAAGAAGAACAACAACAACAAGAGAGGAAAAGAGAGAAGGAAAATGAGAGAAAGAAGAAGAAGAAAAGGAGAGGAAGAAGAAAGGAAAGAAGGGAGAGGAAGATGGAACCAATAATAAAGAGAAAGGAGAGAAGAGAACAACGGAAGTGGTCGCCGGTGAGCAAATTCTGGTGATCGGAAAGAACGAAGGGAGATTGAGCAAATGGGAGGTGAGTAAAGCTTGATATTTCCCCTTTTTGGTGATTTATGATTCAATTGGTTTAAAGAACTCTCTTTAGATTGTTTTGTCTATGATTTGGTATAAATTCATGAAAACGAAACTAAAATAGCGAGATTGATTTCAATAAATTGGTGTGGGTAGAATATACTTGTGTTTCCTAAACAAAATTTGGTTAAAGATGTAATTTTTATATAAAGGTTTACTGTACAAAAATCTGACCATCTGGAATTCCAAAAATTGTTTGTATGTTTTGGTTTTTGTTTGAAGCTGAATTTTGGATATGCTGTTATAGACTTCTTGAGGAGTGTTTAGAAATTTATTTTACTCAAAAACTCGAAGGATTGAATTTTATATGGATTTTTGAAATTGCCTTGTGAATTCTTGAATTTTCGTTTTCTGCAGCACATGTATATTTGGAAAATGATTTGATGCATTTATTCTTATTGAAATTGAGTGATTTTAAATTCTGGTGAATCCTATATGTGTCTAGTTTAATTTTGGAGAGTTTCATGAGGTTTGGATTAAGCGCTGAATTGTTATTAATTTTTCAAGTTAGTAACCCCAATTCTGGAAACAGGGGACAAATTTGAATGAGTTTAAAGAAAATTGTGTTTTAAATAGTTATTGATTCCGGAATGACTTGAGAAAATTATGGAACAAATTATGTGTCTCTAGAATATCCCTTTAAAATTATGACTTAAAATAATGAATATAATTTTTAAGAAAAATCCGAGAGCGACTGATGTTCGATTATGAGACAGTTTTGTTAAAGAAGAAGTTATGTTAATCTTTTGGTGTGTGCAGTGTCCAATGATTTTAATATTGAGGTGTTACCTTATGGGGATTTATGCATGGAGTATTTGTTGATTTTGTGTATAGGGAGGCAAGCGGGGGCATTATTAGAAGATTTTAATCATTTTTTGGCTTAAGGGTCGAGCTTCAAACTGTGAGTGGAAAAATCTAAACCCCTAACTTTCTTTTTAACAAAGTTATCTCTAAATGCTCTTTTATACTTGTTGATTGTTTTTAAATTGCCAAATATGTTTGATTTATTTATATAAATGAGCTTTATTGCAATGTTATTGTTGGAAATTGTTGATTGACATTAGAAAGATGGAATTTTGATGTTTTGTGGCAATAGTTCAAAAAGAAATGAAAATGGGTTGAAATTGTTAGATTTGAAAACATTTGAAAGCCTGCATTTATATTTTTAAGTTATGCAACTATTATATGCTCATGAGAAAAATGTTTTGAGAATAAGTATGAGATGATAATGGGTTTCAAACCACCTTACGTAGTACCCAACCCCCTTATGATGTTGATTTGATTCTACACATGCGTATGATTTGATATTGCCGGCCCAAGTGGGTCAAAGGCCTGAGCGAGGTAGATATCACTTCACATGATTGATATTGCCGGCTCAATTGGGTCAAAGGCCCGAGCAAGACAGATATCGCTACACATGATTTGATTTGTCAGCCGAAGTGGGTCGAAGGCCTAAGCGAGGCAGATATCGCTACGCGGGATATAATTTTGGTAGCCCGAGTGATGCCTGGACTCATTGAGTCGAAGGCTTGAGTGGTGAACGATTCCGCCTAGCAGGATGGAATTAGTGGTTCAACTCGCGCGATGTTAGATCTTGTCGGGTTGGACATATTTACCCCTGGATATTAGTTGGGTGAGAGTTTTCACATGTGATTGAGAGATGGTTTGGATATGTACATATATGTATATCATTTATTTGAAAATGGGAACTTGTAAATGTAAATGTTATCCATATATGAACTGTTTCTTAGAAATGATATTTTTAGAGAAATATGAGTACTGATTCGTTTATCATAATAGTGTGAAAAAAGAAGTCTTGCCATGAGAGATTTCAACATGTGTTATGAAAGATAACTTATATTATAAAATGTGTTTATGGAAATGAAATTTTATAAGCATGAGTGTTTTTATTGTCTATTGAAATGTTTTATTACATACTAACCCATTCCCCACTCACTGACCATTTCTAGCTCACCCCTCATTTTCAAATGTTTTTCTTTCCCCCCACCAGGTCAAGAAGGAGATCGTGCAGAGGAGTGAATCCCACTCAAGGTTGGGCCACACGACTTCATTTTATCATATATTCTATAGTTGTGTTTTATTTTCCGCTGCAAAGTTTATGTTTTCTTCATCATATATTTATTTCTTGCTCTGTATTAATAAAGATATGGAAAAATCTGATACCATACATTTCATTTTGTGAAAATTTCAGTTACATTTATTTATTTGCAAATGACGTTACGTCTATTCGTGAGAAAAAAAATAAAAGAGTGCTTATAAATGTTTTGGCTAGAAGAATTTTATGATGTTTTTATTCATAAACAGGTTTTACATTTTTCCCACATAGCACATCTCGATCACTGGAGTCTCATATTGTACCTGCCGCCCGGAGCCTATGGGATAAAGAGAGTCAAGATGGGTCGTGTCATATTAACTGTCTAAGTTTCTCACAGGAACGACTCTAGAGTTACAAGCATATACTGGCCTTTGAACTCGCCAAAAATCTAATAGCCAATGATACTTCATCGGATAATAGTAGTATAGATCAATGTTTTAAAAACCGACCCGAGACAAAACCCGACAAGAGGGCCGGGTCTCGGGTCGACCGGTTTAACCGGTTGAACCAGCTGGTTCAATCGGTGAACAATAACTTGATGACATCAGCATGATGACATCATCAAGTTACTGTTCACAGAATACATTCCTTTCTCAAATTTTACTCCAAAGTCCAAATCATAAACTCCAAAATAAAAAATCCATAGCAAAACATCATCAAACATCATTATATCAATAATACAAATCAAAATAACAAAATGAATGAAGAAAAATAACATAATAGTTGTTTCAAGTTTCCAACTTTCAAGTCAACGACTCAACATTTCAACATTCTAACAAAAATTGATCTTCACCAAATGGTCTTCAATCAATCAATCCATCATTCTATCCTCAATTAAAATTGACAATTCACACACCACCTGATGGATGATTGTCATCATTATTAACATCGGCGACATCATCTACAAAAAATTCTAGCAAAAAAGAAAAATCATAAGTTAAATCTTCCAATTTAAACTAATTGAATATAAACTAGCAATTGAACTCGATAAATTCCTCCACCTCTGATTATCTTGCCACAGTAAAGACATGTTAATATCTTCTTCCTATTTTCATCCAGTCCCTCATTAACATGTGCCCATGCTATATCATTTCTTCCTCGAAAAGTTTGTGAAACATCCATGGAAGCAGATTGTTGACAAGACCCAGATAATGACATATTCTTTGCCTTTAATCTTGATCTCTACCCTGGTGACACAAATAACAAATAAGGATGGATGATCTCTACTGCAATTTTTCAAAGGCTACATTTGCAAGCAATCCTCCATAAATTGTTTTGATGTGGACTGTTTGTCAAGACTTCATCAATTCCTTTACACAGTTTATGACAATTTAGTCTATTCACTGTATATCTATAAATTGATATAATCAAAAGCGTAAAAATTCAAAATTATTGAAACAAATTCAGTTAAACAATGAGAATAATGATATCATTATCATTATCATATCCCGTTTGTAACTTGTAAGCAATATCATGTCAATATGAAAATTGACTTTATGTGGTAATAGATACTGACTGATAACAACTTCTCTTTTCAATTTCAGGAACAAGTGTCCAGCAACTCCAAGCTGTTCAACCCAACAGCTTCGTGGAAAATACATGCCAAACTCATTTCAAGCTGCATGTGATTCCATGATGGACCACCGAATCCATATATATCATAAATTTGTTCAAATAAAATGCAATTACAAATACCAATTTAATTATGTACATTTAAATAAACTTTTCAACTTCAGACACCCTATACATTGATCAAATGAAAACTAAAAACATATATGTACCATCATTTGTCTCTCTTTAAACTGTATCTTCCCATCAATTTTCAATCCATAATTTTACTGATTTGATCACATATTGATGCAATAAGGTAATGACATTATTATTATTATTATTATTATATATTATCAAATTGCCAACACCAACCACATTTTATAAATGTAATGACAAATGCAATAAGGTAGGAATATATATGCAGGAATCAATCAGAAAGTGAAGCAGCGTGTCTTTGAGTTGACATATTTGATTGATGCAATAAGGTAGGAATATATATTGATGTCTTTGAATGCTGACTTGCTGAGACAATGGGGACTCAATACCTGGTGTTGGTGAAGACTGAAGACGAGCTGCTGTTGACCGTTGGAGATGTGGAGCTCGACTGTGACGGACGAACACTTGATGACTTGAACACTGAACAGAGCAGAACTGCAGAAGAGAAGAAGAGAGTTCCTGATCAAGAAGAAGATGACAACGATGGTGCAGCTTCCAGATCGACGGTGACAGAAGAAACGAGCAGATCGGCGGTGAAGAGAGGAGTGAGAACAGTTCGCGAAATGGTGAAGGGGAGACGACGAGATTCCGCGGTGAACTGGTGATGGTGAAGGCTAATGCGACGAGATTCACGGTGAAGTTAGTGAACTGGTGAAGGGGAGTTCGTGGATGATGAAAATTTGAAAATGCAAAATGGTTCAGACTTCAGAGGAGTTCAGACGAAAGAGTTCAAAGAAAGAGGAAAGTAGCGTGAAATGGGGGGAAATGTTGATACCGTTTAAGCGTGTGCTGTGTCAGTGTGTAGTTAATACTTAATATAATTTATTAAATTTAATATTTTTATTTTTTAAATTTTGTATTAATGCATTTGATTTTGGCATAACCCGGTTTGTAGTAAAATTACCGGTTGGACCGGTGGGTGCTATACTATATCAGTCCAACGACAGGTTAAACTGGACAGAATGATTTTATTGGTTATATGGCTCACCCGACCCGACTGACTGATCGGATCTTGATTTAACCGATTCAACCGATCGGACCGGACCAGGTTTTAAAACATTGAAGATGACGTTAATTACCTCATCTTTCAGAGTCAGTGAAACGCATGAATTAAGTAACTCCAATCACGAATGCTACGGTTACACCATGACGTGCCAGATGCATCACCCAACTGCCACGTCACTTAACCCTAGGTTTTTAAAAAAAAAAATATTGCAAACTCCTAAATTTCAAATTTCCCATTTGCGCTAAAACGGTAAAATCCACATCCCAAATCAATTTCAGCTTATTATAAAACAGAAACCCTAAAATTCTTCCACACTTTCCTTTCAATTTTTGAAACCCTAGCCACCACAATCTCCAACCTCAGCCCGTCCCCACGGTGACCACCACAGCCGCACCAGTTTGCGGCCATCTAACTCTGTTATCTGGCGGTTAAAGTCACTGATAGGTTACTGTAACCATAACTCATCTCTCCTGCGCGATCCCAGTGGCATCCGTCGGCTTATCCAAATTCCCTTCATTTTCACAGGTTATTACTTTTTAAAGCTGAAGTTGTTTATCCTTTTGTTTTGCTCTTGGGAAACAGTGATTACACTAAAAATAATTATTAATGATTTATTGTGATGAGTGCCAGATTGCTGCTATGCATCGGTGAGTTGCATTGTTAATGATTTATATATGTTTATACATCATATGCTCAGTAGAAATTCCAGTTCTGGTACCTAAATGCTACGTGGTCATTTTTTGGGCATTTTATATATTTTAGCACCAAAAGAATGAAATTTCCATTTAATAGAGCAGTTTCGGAGAAGTGGACAAAATTAAAAGGATTGAAGTTGCATCATTGTTTGAATCCCCTATCTTTTGTTCTTTATGCATGGATGCATTTGTTTTTAACATTTTATAGGCAATCTGTTTACTTTGAAATTTTTTCAAAAAAATGTCAATACATTTTGCTTAGTTTGAAATTTTATAAAAAAATGTCATACATTTTGTCATGTTGGGTGAAGATTCTCCCCTTCGCTGTAGTACTATGCTGCTGGTCAAGCTTTGATGTTTTATTTTTTTTTCCTTTTTTGTAATATTTATTTGTTATAAATCTGCTTCTTTTTCCCTTATTTTCAGCTATTGCATACCTCAATTGCCGGTAACTTTTCGAGGAGCATGTGATTTGGTATTGTAGATGAGATGGACTGGATAAAAACGGAATGGTGAACTTCAAGGAATTTCTGTTTGTATTCACTACAGAGCTGCATATATCTGTGTGTATTACATTATCTCTAATTGTTGTATCGTTACCATGTTTCTCTGACATAACTGCCAATTTAGCAAGGTACAATTGGTTTGGCTACGGATGAATATCTGTTTGGTGTTGTTCTTGGAGGAGTTGTGTAAGTGGCCTTGTGATTGTGTTCCTTTTTTAGACGTGATGTGCATATTACACACAGCTATGGCTTCATCACCACTGTCAAGGCCGGTTGGTAAGATATTCTTTGGTGATACAATGGGGAATTAAGATGCAATGATAGAATAGTAGTATATACACATTTTTGGAAGGTTTTTGGCCTGAATATCTGACTGGAAATGTTAACAAACTCAGTTTGCCTTTTTTTTTTTTTTTTACCCTATATTATCTAATGATTATGGATTCAGTAGCTTGGATGATAATGGGCTTTTTTCCTGCATCTGGTTTTATTTTTCGTTGAGAGATTTCCATACATTTGGTTTAGTATTAATGTATTATAGCCTCTCCCTCTATCTATGAATTATGTGCATTTACTTGATGGGGCGTAAAACTTTAAACTTGTTACAAGCATCATGATTTTGCAGTATGTTTAACAAGATGTACTTATAGTTTGGTCTTGCCTTTTTTATGTACATGGTAAAGATATACAGATAATTTGTTCTGTTGATTCATTGTTGGAGCGTCAGTAATCAACATCTTCTTGTTGTATATGTGTGCCATTTTTATTTTTATTTTTATTTTTTATTTTTTATTTTTTTGTTTTTTTGGTTTTGTCGATCTGAAAATTGAGTTGTTAAAGAATACGATGTCATAATTTGTAAATTTGTAGGGTCATTTGCTAGCATTGTTGATAATTTTAGTTGTAGTTCTGTTACTGAAATTGATATGCACATTAAGTGATTGGTTTTTGTAAACGAAGTTTAGGGTTGTAGGCTGGTTTCTGCATAAGGCATGGACACTGTGTATGCATTATGCAATTGAAGGCGGAGCTGGAACATACAGTGGAAAAACAAGAAGAAAGGTCACAATTGCTAACTCAGGAGAAAAACCCAAGAGCAAGTGGGATGAGGAAAGATGAGCCTCCTTCGGACAGTTTTAGATAATTGATTCACCTTTTTTTTCTCATTGTGTTATGTTCATGAAATTTAATAAAATCTTGACTAAGATCCAACAGTCATAGGTGCCTCTTGGAAATACTTTATTTGGCCTTTTGTATCCAATAACTGTTCTTATTCTATGCAATGAGCTTGACTAAGCTTAGTTATTGCATTTCTTCTCTGGTTGCACTTGTTTTCGGTGGTGATGTTGAGGGGAGTTTGCTGGAAGTTTGGTGGTGTGGTGCTGGGGCTTTTTCTGCAGATTTTTGTTGCTGCAGTGTTGCATTTGTGCTGGAAAATTATAAAACTCCATGAAAAATGCAGTTTATGCAGTTTTTTTTTTTCCCTTCTCTGTTGTTTCATCAAGATTGGAAAACTGCATGAAAAATGCAGTTCATGTAGTTTAGTGGAACAAAAGATATGATGTTCATCCAATTATGTCCTGGACATAATTACAAATGGTTGACTTTTTTGTCATACAATGAAAATGAAAAATACATCCAACAGGGCATTTCCATTAAAAGGAGAATGTTGCATATAAAGAAAATATATATAATTAAATTATACAGAACATGTGTCTTAACTATGTTTTTGAATGAGTTGGGTTATGAAAACTTGTACACAAGCGACATTACAACATGAAGAGTGTGAAGTGAACTGGCTGTTTTTTATCAGTTTATTTTTTCTGCCTCTTTTTTTCCAAATTGCAATTGCTCTTGCTTGCATCGTCCTACCAAGTACCGACAACGACCTCCAACGGTTTCGCATGCTGAATATCTACAACATGGGGAGAACATAATAATTAATGAACCAATTTAATTATGTTATATGGTTTGCTGGTGGACCTTACCATTCAGGTTAATCATGAAAATAAAATATAAAAGAAATTTGAAAGAGGCAATGAAGGAAAGGGAAAGTCACCTTGTTGCTGCAATGGTGCCATGACTAAGTTCTTTAGTTTGTTCTCTTCTGATCAGATTCAACACTCAGAACTGCAGCCACGCCCCAAATATCAACCAAAAAATGTGAAAGACAGACATATTAACACCATTAACAAAGTTCCCAGTTCAAGATAAAAATATCAAGCCAAATATAGAGATGATACCTTGTTCTTAGTGGTTATCCAGCAATCAGTTCCCTTATTATGCAAAGACTTTAGTCTTACTATATTTTGGATGCCTAACAACACAAAAGAACATTTAACAAATAATTAACAGTTAACTAGCACATATTTACAATGACATATGCAACTAAGTACAAAAGAAATATCATTAGAAATACTCTCCAAATACTACATTTTTATACAAAGATGGGATTATTTTGGGCACTAAAGTTTGATGAAGCTTAATTTTCATTTTCCATACCCAAAACCATTGAATCATACATTACTTTTCTTCTGATCAGAAAAACATTCAAACTTTCTTATGTTCTAAAAGTCCCCAGCATCAAAATAAAGTTATGCAAGTAAAATACTACAGAATCAGCTTCAAAATCAAATATATAATAGTTCAAACAATACTTTTTAGAGTGATGCTATGGGTACTAATGGATGAGTACTAATATGTGTACTAACTAAAGCATAGTACCCGTACTATGCGCGCTTTAGTTAGTACACATATTAGTACTCATCCATTAGTACCCAAAGTATTATTCTACTTTTTAAAGTTCCCAAGATAAAAAATACCTTATATTTAGTGTCAATTATTTTTAGAGTTAACAATTGAGTGATCCGTTTTCGAATTATCTGCATCAAACAAACAAACACAAATTTAACATGGAACGCATACACAATCAAACACTTGCATCAGTGAAAATGAAGGGAGAAATCAAAAGATTACCAGATTCACGGTCTCATGGGATCAAAATAAATACTCCCAAAATGACAGCTAAAATTAGTGCTCCTCAACTGAAACCAAATCTCAAATCCGCTACTTCCTCTGTTTCAACATATTCACAATAAAAAAAAAAAATGGAGCTGATTTCACTTATTTGTACATCACTTTTACTTTACTTTCTTTGCCCTTTCCTTTATGTCAACATTTTAAATAAAAGAATTGAAAAACATTTAAATCACTGTTTCCGAAGAGCAAAACAAAAGGATAAACAACTTCAGCTTTTACAAGTAATAACCTGTGAAAATGAAGGAAATTTGGATAAGCCGAGAGATGCCACTGGGATCGCGCAGGAGAGATGAGTTATGGTTACAGTAACCTACCAGTGACTCTTAACGGCCAGATAATAGAGTTAGATGGTAGCAAACTGGTGCGGCTGTGGTGGTCGCCGTGGGGAAAGGCTGAGGTTGGAGATTGTGGTGGCTAGGGTTTCAAAAATTGAAAGGAAATTGTGGAAGAATTTTAGGGTTTCTGATTTAGAATAAACTGAAATTGATTTGGGATGTGGGTTTTACTGTTTTAGCGCAAATGGGAAATTTGAAATTTAGGAGTTTGCAAATTTTTTTAAAAAAAAAAAAAAAAAAAACCGTAGGGGTAAGTGACGTGGCAGTTGGGTGACGTGGCAGATGATATGACTCATGGTGTAAGAGAATGAAGTAAAAAAATGGTGTAACCTTAGCATTACTGGACAAGCAGAATCTGGAGCTGAACAGAAAAAAGTTTTGATATGAATTCTTACAACCACAATTCATATACTATCCTAACACGACCACTTTTAACTCCAACTAGGCTAGGGTTTCTTCCAACTCCTTAAGACCATTCGGCTAACACTCTCCATACACACACACAACCATTAAAACAACTTAGAACAACTCTTTAGATCAAACTCCAATCAACACAAAGGCACTCATTCTCAAATGCACCACAAACGGATTCATACACACCATGTAAAACAAAATCCAGAAAATGAGTTAACTTGAAACTAAAGAAAAACAACTTACATAGATGACCAAGGAATCAATCAAGCCTAAAGGAAACTCCACCAGCTTGATAGACACTCCACCACCAAGTTTGGCGGAACTTGGGTAAAGGAAACAAGAGAAAACAATTCTCAAGACAAAGCACTATTCACTTCAATATTCAATCTCCTTACAAAAATGATCAAGTGGCCTTTAAATAAGCTTTACAAAAATTAGGGATTTACCCTAGCCAATATTACATGATGGAAACATTAAAATATTACATGCAAATTAATAAACAAAAAGTCTCCACCACACAAGCCAAAAGCAAGCCATAACCATTTAATGATCAAGTGGACAACCTTTCCCTAATTTAAGGACCTATGTCCTTAACAACAATTTTAGGGATTTTCATCCAAAATTTGAATCAAATGACACCCAAAACTTGGGCTTGGGCCAATGTAACTTGTTCCCACTTGTTGTTCACGTTTTTGGTCACAAAATTGGGTTTGAGCCGTGCCTTGGAACCTTAAGACCTCTTGGACAGTTTTGTGAGCTTCCTTGAATGTTTGGGATGCTTGGGCCGAATGTTGATCTTCATGTTGTCCTTGAGTCTTCATTGAAATCCCTAGCATTTGTGATGAGCATGATGAGCTTGGATTCTCATCATCCTCCCTGGGTTGAGAAGGATTTGTCCTCAAATCCGAAAGTATGCCATCTTCTAAGTATGGAGACAAGTCCCCAATGTTGAAAGTAGCCAAAACATTGCAAAATTTAGAGGGTAAATCAATTTTATATGCATTATCCCCAACTCTCTTAAGGACTTCAAAGGGACCATCGGCCCTTGGTGCCAACTTGCTTTTCCTCTTGGAAGGAAATCTCTCCTTTCTCAAATGAACCCATACAAGATCACCCGGCTGGAAAATGGTGGGTTTCCTATGTTTGTTGGCTTTCTTTCTATAGGCTTCATTAGATTTTGCTATTTGAGCCCTAATTGTTTCATGTAACCTCTTCATGGACTTGGCCTTCTCCTTAGCATCAAGGCTCAATTGGATATCAAGGGGTAGGATACTAAGTTCTATGGGAGTGATAGGGATAAGGCCATAAAGAACTTCAAAAGGAGAGTGGTTAGTGGTAGCACTAGAGGACCTATTATAGGCAAATTTGGCATGGGCTAACTTGTTGTCCCAATCTCTCAAACTCTTGCTCACCAAGGTTCTAAGGATGGTTCCTAGGGTTCTATTGGTGACTTCGGTTTGACCATCAGTTTGGGGGTGATGGGAAGTGCTAAACAAAAGTTTGATACCCAATCTACTCCACAAAGACCTCCAAAAATGGCTAAGAAATTTTGAATCCCTATCCGACACTATGTTCCTTGGTACACCATGCAATCTCACAATTTCTTTGAAGAAGCCACATGTGATGCATCATTGGTTTTGTTGCATGCAATGAAATGTGCCATCTTAGAGAATCTATCAACAACAACCATTATGGAATCTTTACCTCTTTGGGTTCTCGGCAATGCCACAATGAAATCCATGCTCAAGTCTTCCCATGGTTGGTTAGGAATGGGCAATGGAGTGTACATCCCTGGCTTGAAATGACTCTTAGCTCTATGACAAACCCCACACCTAGCCACTATGGATTGGACATCCCCAATCATCTTAGGCCAAAAGAAATGATCCTTAAGAATCTCCAATGTTTTGGTAACCCCAAAATAACCCGCAAGCCCTCCTCCATGCACCTCTCTAATAAGTAATTCTCTAAAACTCCCTTGTGGTATACATAACCGGTTTCCCTTAAACAAAAAACCTTCTTGAACCACATAATCCTCAAAGCTCCCCTTTGAACACTTAGCCATAATTTCGGCCATTTGTTCATCTTCTTTGTAATGCTCCCTCATCATGCTAAACCAAAGTACTCTTGCATCCAAAATGGAAAGGATGGAGTACCTCCTTGATAATGCATCCGCAACTACATTAGTACTTCCTTGCTTGTACTTGGATACAAATGAAAAGGATTGAAGGAACTCAACCCATTCGGCATGCCTTGAATTCAACTTAGGTTGCCCATTGATAAACTTGAGAGCTTGGTGATCCGAATGCAACACAAATTGTTTAGGCCTCAAACAATGACTCCAATGATCTAAGGCTCTAATAATGGCATAAAATTCTTTATCATAAGTGATATATCTCTTCCTAGAATCATTAAGTTTCTCACTAAAATATGCCAATGGCCTTTTATCTTGAGTAAGGATCGCCCCTATCCCGACTCCACTAGCATCACACTCCACTTCAAACACCTTAGAAAAATCGGGTAAAGCTAGAATGGGTGCTTCAAAAAGCTTCCTTTTAATCACTTCAAATGCATCTTTTGCCTCTCTTGTCCACTCAAAATTCCCCTTTTTTAAGCGCTCGGTGATTGGTGACATTAGGGTACTAAAGTTGAGTACAAATCTCCTATAAAAGGAGGCTAAACCATGAAAGCTTCTTACTTCACTAATGGACTTAGGTTCGGGCCAATTTTTAATTGCTTCAACCTTGGATTGATCAACCATAATTCCCTCTCCCGAAACCACATAGCCTAAGAAGACTACCCTCTCAATAAAAAACTCACATTTCTCCATCTTAGCATATAACTTTTGTTTTCTCAACACTTCAAACACTTGCCTAAGATGGTTTTTATGATCATCCTCACTATGACTATACACTAATATGTCATCAAAATAAACAACAACAAATCTGCCCAAAAAAGGTTTAAGTACCTCATTCATCAATCGCATGAAGGTGCTTGGTGCATTGGAGAGGCCGAAAGGCATGACCATCCATTCAAAAAGCCCTCCCTTGGTTTTGAAGGCTGTTTTCCACTCATCCCCTTCTCTCATTCGGATTTGATGGTACCCACTCCGTAAGTCTATCTTGGAGAAGATGCAAGAGCCATGTAACTCATCAAGCATGTCATCAAGCCTCGGTATGGGAAACCTATACTTGATGGTAATGTTATTGATAGCCCTACTATCCACACACATCCGAAAACTTCCATCCTTTTTTGGTACCAAGAGGGCTGGAACCGAACAAGGACTCATGCTCTCCCTCACATACCCTTGACTAATTAGCTCATCCACTTGTCGTTGCAACTCTTTGGACTCTCCCGGATTGCATCTATAGGCTGGTTTGTTTGGTAAAGGTGCCCCGGGTAGCAAATCAATATGATGTTCTATTCCCCTCAAAGGTGGCAGCCCGGGTGGTAACTCATTAGGGAAAACATCTTCATACTCATGCAATAAAGGTTGGACTAGGGGATGGGGTGTGCTAGCATCAACTTCTCTCCTCTCGGCAATAAGCAAGGTTAGGATGGGTTTGTGTTTGGTGATGGCCTTTTCTATTTGATTGCCATTGAGGAAAAGGTTCTTTTGTGAGTTTTCGGTTTTGGTTGGTGATGGTGGGGAAAGTGTTTGATGGGGTGGTAAAGGGCTTAAGGTAATGGTTTTCTTGTTGAACCTAAAAGTGTAAGTGTTCTTCCTCCCATCATGGACAACTTCCCTATCAAATTGCCAAGGCCTACCTAGCAACAAGTTACAAGCATCCATTGGTATTACATCACACAACACTTCATCCACATATCTCTTACCTATGGAAAAAGGGACCACTACTTGTTTGGTAACACTAAGGGTGCTCCCATTGCTCAACCATTGTAATTTGTAAGGGTGGCTACGGTTTTGGGTAGGAAGCTTCAATTTTTCAACAAGGGTGGTGGAAGCTACATTGGTACAACTCCCACTATCAACAATAACCGAACATACCTTCCCTTTGATGGTGCAACGGGTTTGGAACAAATTTCCCCTTTGTTCTTCGGTGGAGTCAACTTGTGCATGCAAAACCCTTTTCAAAATCAATGCATCACCAACATCAGCTTCTTCAACAATCTCCTCACCACTCTCGGATTCTTCCTCTTCACTTTCTTCTTCTCGGACCGCCTCTTCGATCTCTTGTATCTCTTTAAGGGACAATACCCTCTTGTTGGGACAATTGGCTTGGAAGTGTCCATAGCCATGATACTTAAAACATTTCTTGTATTTCAAATCCCCTCGGGTGCCTCCTTGAGCCACAAATTTTGGTTTCTCCTTAGGTGCTTTATTCACTCTTTCCTTGCCATTGTCTTTGTTGTTGTTGACATAAGGTTTGGAATAAGATGGGGATCCTTTGTAGGAGTTGCTGCCCTTGAAATATGGTTTTGGTGCTGAAAGTTTCAGACTTTGGAATTGCTTCTCAACCTTGTTGGCTAGCTTGCATACATCCCCCAAGGAATGATAAGGTTGCAATTCCACTTTGTGAGCTATTTCTCTTTGTAATCTTCCCAAAAACCGAGTGATTGTTTGCTCCTTTTGCTCTGGAATATCACTTCTCATCATAAGGCCCTCAAACTCCCTTATATACTCCTATACCTTCATATCTCCTTGCTTAAGATTATACAAACTCATGTAGAGATCTTGCTTGTAATTGTCGGGCAAGAACCTCTTTTTCAACATTCTTTTCTATTTTTTCCATGACCTTACTCT